ATGCTCTCCCTAACTACCTAATTCTGGAAATTCTGACAGTGCTTCCTAAGGAGAGTTAGGTAACCCCTCTGAAGAGGCTAATTTTAGGTCTACAAATTGTTTTATATGGTAGAGTTCATTGGAATAATAAAGTATATCTGCGTATTGTATACCTGCTTTACAGGTTATAATAAAGGATAATAGTCTTGTGTTGACACCATCACACATCAAAGCCTACATGTTGATGACTCTTCAAGGGTTAGAATATTTACATCAACATTGGATCCTACATAGGGTAAGGTTTTTAATATTGCTTCTTTATGCTAGCCAAATTTCATGTAGCCAGTTTAGTATAATGGTCTGGATATGTAAATTGTTGAACAAAATAAAGATACAGCTAGACCATTTTATCCCACCTTCCTATATGTATTCCCTTCAGTTGTTCCAGCAGGTGGTTCTGTGAGGACTCCAAATTACCATGTGAACTTTAGAACTGGAAGAGATCCAATCCTTCATTTTTTTTCATAGATGAAGAGCTAAGTTGCTAAGTAACCTGACCAAGGTTATATTTTTTTTCAAGGGCAGCAGCTGATAACCAACAGGGTATTACAATCTAGTTCTTTTGGCTTTACATTCAGTATTCTTTGTGCTATACTGTAGTTATGGGGAAAAAATACAGTGAGAGTCTTGGATTAATTTATACAATGCCAAAATACCTTTAGAAAAATAATATTTCTAGTAGTTCTAAAATTCTATGAAGTCTTGAAATAAAATTTATGAAATAGATCATTTTTAGGAATATTCAGCTGTTGGAAGAAGGCCGATAATTTAGCGAGGTAGATGTTCTTAGGTGCTGTATTTAAATAAGTAGCTAAGAATATATAATTTAGAACTAGTAATTGTCATATCTTAAATTTGGAATCCCTTCTAGGTTAGTGCTGATGTCTTTTTAGCATAGATTTTGAAGTATATCTTCCTCACCCTTTCTAAATGCATCATGTTTTTATTTACTAATATATATATTATTATTAAATTAATTGTGGCAACCATTTATTGGGTGCTTACTATGAGCCAGTCATTACACTAGACTCTTTACAGAAAATACTAGATTTAATCCTCATAGCAACCTTATGAAGTAGGATAAATTGAGGCTCAACGAAATTAAGTACCTTACCCAAGTTCTCACTATATAATATAACCAATCTTATTTTGCTCTTCTGGGATTTTATATCAGTGGGAAAAAATTGATGTTTAAATTTTGGGTGTTGGTGTTACTCTGTTTTTGCTAAGTTTAAAGTTAAGCCAACTAAATGTAGCACTATGGTGTTCCCCACCTTGTTTATTTGTTTGTTTTAAATTTCCATCATACAGGATCTGAAACCAAACAACTTGTTGCTAGATGAAAATGGAGTTCTTAAACTGGCAGATTTTGGCTTGGCCAAATCATTTGGGAGCCCCAATAGAGCTTATACACATCAGGTTGTAACCAGGTAAAAATCCCTTAAGTAACTGAAAGCTTATGTTGTGTAGGCTATTGATCATAAATGAGCATCAACTAGCTTCTCTGAAATATCTTGGCAGAATTCAGGAATCATTGTTGGTATCTTCCTAAAAAATACAGCCCTTTTTTATTTTATGTATATTTTACCACGATGAAAAAAAACAGCACTTTTCCAAACAGAGTTGAATTAACTCAATCCTCAGACATTTACCTAGTAACTGAGGAGTAATTTAAACTTTCATCTTTTTACTTCAATAAGCTGGAACATCAGTGGCTATTCTTTTACCTAATCACCTGATTTATTGGGCTCATATTTATTATATTGGTCAGTTCTGATTCTTTATCCTTCTTTGTGAGTGAAAATAAAGCAGTATCTTGGTATTTGAGTTTTTCATATTATTATTAGTAATTATATTTTTATACTTTTAGTGTATAAAAACAGAAAATCACATGAAATAGATAAGGACAATAGATTTTATATTTCTTTTCAGGATGGCATTTGTTAATTTCCAAGACTCTTTTAAGGTTCTGTAAACATTTTTCCAGGTTCTCTATTTTAAATTATTTTATTACCTTCTTCCATATAGATCTCATTGAGTGTCAGTTACCTAGCTGTAAGCAGAAGTAGGGATGTGAATAATTATTCATGTGATTGCTGGAATAATTAAGCCCATCATTCAGGAACTCTTAGAAACAAGGACTCATATACAAGAGCATTGTTAAGTGGTGCTTTCTTATGTACCAGTTTCTCGTATTAGGTTATAAAGTATGGAATGTCCGATATCCTTGAGTACGAAGTCTGACAGTTGTTATCTCTGACATTTCCTTTTGACACTTCTTGGTTGGTTTTTGTTGTTGTTGTTTGAAAATCATGAAGATAACATCCTCAATCTTTCAGACTCACATTTTGGCTTGTGATTATCTTTCAAAATTTTTTTTAGAGCAATTTTTGTGAAACCATGATAAGTCAGAAATTTGTGTTATTTTTTAATATGAGTTCCATCATGGAACAAGTCCAGCACAGACAGCTTGAAATATCAATGAAGTGTTGGAGAAGGACGTCGCTAATGAATCCACAATACGTTGAGGGTCTGAGAAGTTCCACTCTGGTGATTTTAATCTTGAAAATGAGCCATGTGGGCAACCTGAGACCAAGGTGCATAATGATGAGCTGAAAGCTGTAGTGGAAGCGAATCCATCTCAACCTACGGTTGAATCAGCAGCAAGGCTTGACATTACTGCTCCAACAATATTGGACCTTGTGAAACAAATGGGCAAGGTAAAGAAGCTGGAAAGATGGGTACTACATGAATTAAATGAGCGTCAGAAGAGAAATTGTCTTGAAGTTTCGAGATAGCCTTTCTTTGCTGACACGACATAAAAGCAAACCGTTTCTACACTGTATTGTTTGAAAAATGGATTCTTTTTGATAATCACAAGCATTGGGCACAAAGGTTGGATAAAGATGAAGTGCCAAAACACAATCCAAAACCAAATATTCATCAGAAAAAGCTAATGGTGTCTGTTTGGTGGTCCAGCGTTGGTATTAGCCACTACAGCTTCATGAAACCTGGTCAATCAATTACAGCAGATGTCTACGGTGACCAGTTGGACAAAATGATGAGGATGCTTGCGATTAAGCAGCTGAAATTGGTCAGTAGAGATAAAAGCAAACAAAAAACAATGCTTCTCAAACTACAGAAGCTGGACTTGGAAACTCTCTGCCATCCACCGTATTTACCAGACCTTGCACCAACTGACTGCCACTCATGCTCCAGGCTTTGGACCACTTCTTGTAAGGAGAAATATTCAATTCTCAACAAGCTGTGGAAAATGCCATTCACGATTTCATCGCCACTTGCTCTCCAGGCTTCTTAATCTGTGGCATAAGCAAGCTACCATTAAGATGGCAAAACTGTGTCAACAGTTTAGGCACATACTTTGATTAATTGTACTACTTCTCGTTTGAGATATAATAAATTAAACTTTTGATTCAAAATTGGACATTTCATATTTAATGACCTAATATTTTTTTTTTTTCCTCTGCAAATCAAATGCTGCTAATAAGTCAAATTAGGATGAGGACTCAGAATTGACAATGTGATTAGCAGCATGGCCCTCACCGATAAGCTTGACAGTAGTAGTCTGGTGGCGTGGTAGGCCTGCTTAAAAAGGGTTTAAGAGAGAATGAAGGAAGAGGAATTGGAGACAGTATGAATAGATAATTCTTTGAACTAACCAGAGAATGAGGAAGTAGCTGTCGGGGGAGGTGGAGTCCAGAGAACTTTAAAGCTGGAGAAATAATAGAATGTTTGTACATTGATGGAAAAGGTCTAGTAGAAAACAAAAGACTGATGATGTAGGAGAAAGGAGAGAATTGCAGGAGCATTATCCTTAAAACTCAGCAAAAGAGTATGGTATCTAGTGCTTAAGATGAGGAGTTAGCTTTAAAAACAGATATGATAGTTCATGCCTGAGAAAAACTTTAATAATTCCATTCTAAAATGATACTACTTCTTTTTTTTCTTCAGGTGGTATCGGGCTCCTGAGTTACTATTTGGAGCTAGAATGTATGGTGTGGGGGTAGACATGTGGGCCGTTGGCTGTATATTAGCGGAGTTGCTTCTAAGGGTAAGTCTAAACTAATGCACACACTTCAATACAGTTATTCTCTTTTTTCTCTTATTTATTTATTTATTGATTGATTGATTGATTGAGACAGTCTCACTGTGTTACCCAGGCTAGAGTGCCGTGGCGTCGTCTTAGCTCACAGCAACCTCAAACTCCTGGGCTCAAGCGATCCTTCTGCCTCAGCCTCCCGAGTAGCTGGGACTACAGGCATGCGCCACCATGCCCAGCTAGTTTTTTCTATATATTTTTAGTTGTCCAATTAATTTCTTTCTATTTTTAGTGGAGATGGGGTCTCACTCTTGCTCAGGCTGGTTTCGAACTCCTGAGCTCAAACAATCCGCCTGCCTCGGCCTCCCAGAGAGCTATTTATTTATTTTTTGAGACAGAGTCTTGCTCTGTCACCCGGGCTAGAGTGCCATGGCGTCAGCCTAGCTCACAGCAACCTCAAACTCCTGGGCTCAAGTGATCCTCCTTGCTCAGCCTTCCGAGTAGCTGGCACTACAGGCATGTGCCAACACAGCCAGGTAATTTTTCTATTTTTGGTAGAGATGGGGGGTCTCACTTTTGCTCAAGCTGGTCTCGAACTCCTGGGCTCAAGCTGTCTTCCTGCCTTGGCCTCCCAGAGTGCTGGGATTACAGGCATGAGTCACTGTGCCTAGCCAGTTATTCTCATAATTTGTGTAAGAATTATCTTTCTGTCACTGTCCTTACAACAAAAATAACCTACAAATAGATCAATTTTAAAAAAAGCTTCCAGCCAGGCACAATGGCTCATGCCTGTAATCCTAACACTTTGGAAAATCAAGGTGGGAGGATTGTTTGAGGTCAGGAGTTCAAGACCAGCCTGAGCAACATAGCCAGACCTTGTCTCTACAAAAAATAGAAAAATTAGCCAGGCATGGTGGTATGCACCAGTAGCCTGAGCTACTCGGGAGGTAGAGGCAGGAGGATCACTTGAGCCTAGGAGTTTGACGTTGCAGTGAGCTATGATCATGCCATTTCCCTCATACCCAGGCAACAAAGTGAGACCCTGTCCCCAAAATATAATCTTTAAAATAAAAAATAAAAGCTTCCCCCAAATGCAACACTTTTAATTAATGCTAATGTAAAATGAGAAAACCTGCCATTTAGGACAATAAGGATTTTACCATAGATAGTTATACTTCAGAACATAGAAATTAACTTGTAATATGGCAATATCTCTATAGTAATTAAATTTGTTAGGATGAAATGTAGTCATCCTGGTAGGTTTTTTGTTTGAGGCTGTTTTTACTTTAGGGGGATACGTAATACCAACCACCACAGCTGCTACTCTATATAATTTTAAACTTTGTGTGAGACCCTCAAACAGAGCAGACATAGTGGTACTATAGCATTTCTCTGACTGAGACCATCTGTTAGTAAAACATCCCCTCCCTACACTCACAGGAGAGAAAGGTGTGCTGACTTGGAAACTTCTTTTTAGCTATCCAGTTTAGATGTCCAGAAAGACTAGCCCTGCCTTCTGAATGATGAAGGTAAAGGAATACTGAGGAATCCTTCTGATGCTGGGAGTTTTTTCTCCCTACCTTCCAGTTCCTGCACTCCCTCTCCTCAAGCCTTATGTGTTTAAAGAAATACAAACCCAAGATTAAATAGCTTTTTTATTTCCTTGAACACAGAAAATAACTTCTGCATACCAAAGAGAAAAGTTACACTAAACTAAAGATGTTTAAGAATGTAATTTCTGCCAACAATAGTGGCACACACCTGTAGTCCCAGCTACGAGGGAGGCTGAGTCAGGAGGATTGCTTGAGGCCATCCTGGGCAACATAGCAAGACCCTGTCTCTCTCTGTTTCTGTTTTTTTTTTTTTTTTTGAGATTGAGTCTTGCTCTGTTGCCCTGGCTAGAGTGCAGTGGCATCATCATAGCTCACTATAGCCTCAAACTCCTGGGCTCAAGTGATCCTCCTGCCTTAGCCTCCAGAGTAGTTGGGACTACAGGCACTTGCCACCAAGCCAAGCTAATTTTCCTATTTTTTAGAGAGACAGGGTCTCACTTTTTCTCGGGCTGGTCTCAAACTCCTGACCTTAAGCAATCCTCCCACCTCAGCTTCCCAAACTACTAAGATTACAGGTGTAAGCCACTGTGCCCAGCCACAATCCTGTCTCTTTTTAAAAAAAGAATGTAAATTCTGTGTATCATGTTGAGATGCATAATACCCTACAGGTACCTGCAGAAGAAACCCACACATTCAAACTGAAGATGATATGGTAGTCCCAGTGCTAAAAATGGGGCCTATGAATCAGCTGGTGTGATAGCTCTGCTACTCATAAGAACGGCATATACCAGTAATTCACACCGAGAATCTGTCAACCTCCAAAATTCATTCATGGCCAAGAAAAAAACAGAATTCCATAACCCCTAATATTATGACTTATCACTCCATTCAGAAAGTAGGTGAAGAGGGTAGACAGGTTAGAGATAGTGGACCTGGTCAAAATCATAGTTGAAATCTTATCAGCCACTGGTATTGTTTCTGGAATTATCAGTAAGGTTATGAGGAAAATGATAGGCAGACCCTAACTAGCTAAAGAATCATACTGTGGTGTCATATTTTTTGTCCTACAAAGTTTTTTAAGGAAAGATTTTCTATTTCAAACTGTCCCTGTGCCCAATTAAAAAGGTGGTTTATGGAAATGTTGTCCATATGAATGGTTAGCTAGGGATCACCAGATAGTTATTAAGGATCTTCAGATATTTGATGAAAGCTTCCAACATGAAGTACAGACTGAAACAAACTAAAAAGGAACTTGGAAAAAACAAAAACAACCAGAGCAGAAGAACATTCTCCACCACCCCTGTCCAAATCTTCAGACACTTAAGAGATTATATTCCATCTATAAAACAAGCACAGAATTTTTTTTTTTTGAAGGAACAAAGAATGAGAGATACTTGAAATTTTAAAAATGAGAGATCGCTAAAGGCAAAGACAGTGAAAGGATTTGAAAAGTAAGCTGGAGAACTCTTTCATTAAGTAAAATCAAAAGATAAAGAGGTGGGTGGGCATGGTGGTGCATCCTTAAAGTCCCAGCTACTTGGGAGGCTTGAGGCGGAAGGATAACTTGAGGCCCAGGAGTTCCAGACCAGCCTGGGCAACATGGTAAGACCTTGTCTCCAAAAAAAAAAAAAAAAAAAGACATGGACTGTAGTAGAGGAAAGATAAGAAAATTAGCAGATGATTCAGGATTGATCCTAGAGTGCATCAAGAGAGAATGAAGAAAATGGAGAGTGGGAAATCTTAAGAAAATAGCCCAGCATTGATAGATGTGACTCTTTAGACTGAAAGTGACATAAAGAGTACAACTATTACGTATCTTTAAAAATTAAAAAACTTTTTTAAAAGGTACCGTAAGAACCCTACATAAATGAAAAAAGACTCATGCCAAGGTCCACCATTGTGAAATTTCAGAGTATCAAGGGATAAGGAAAAGATTTTATTTCCACAGAGAGGAAAAACAGCTTACATAGAAAAGAAAATAAAAGATTAGGGAAAAGAATGACATCATACTTCTCAGCAGCAGCATTGGAATCTGGGAGACTTCACATTATGAGAGAAAATGTTTCTTCAACCTAGAATTCTATGTTTATTCATATTTACAATTAGCTGTGAGAATAAATACAATTATACAAAAAGTTTATATCCAATTCCTTTCCCAGGAAGTAATTGGAAGATATGCTCTTTGAAGGCATAAGAGTAAACCAAGAAAAAGACATGGGATCCAGGGAACATGAGAGTCAATAGAGGAAAGAGATGAATAGAATTCCCTGTTTAATAGTGAAGGAAGGTCCTGAGAAAACAGATATGCATCAGGCCTGAAGAGTGGCCAGTGCAGACTGGAGCAAGTGGAATGAAGGCTTCAGCCCCTATGGGTGGTTTCCAGAAAAAACAAAAAGGAACTGATGGATTATGATAGATTTGATCATAGAGAAATTGATATTGATAACTGGAATCTCAGCCTTTGTACAAAGTTGCCCAAGAGGGGGTGGGAAGAATTAGAGGAGGAGGGCTAGGAAATCATCACCTCTAGAAAAGCCAAATTGTATAATATTAATACAACAAGAGAAACTAATGTGAAGATGGCTCTACACTGAGCAAAAATTACATAGTTATAAATGGGGAGAGGTGATGGGTCAAAGGACCAATTTTTATCATAAGTCTATGGTACTATTCAGTGTCTTAATAAGGTTCTTGTATTAATCTAATATAAACAAAACATTAAAAACACAGGCTTAAGTTTGAGTTCTAAAGCAGCTCTTCCTTTAGGGGTAAAAGAGTTTATTCATAGGGATATTTTCAAACAATGCAAAAGCAGAGAGAGTAGTGAAATGTGCCTTTATTTACCCAACAACCAGCTTCAATAGCTTTTAACACATGGCTAATTTTACCAGTACCCTCCCACACTAAATTTTTTGCCACAAATCCCAAACATCATATAATTTTATCAATGTACTTCAGTATTTTTCTCCAAAGGATAAGAATTCTTTATCATAATCACAATACCATTGTCACCTGAAAAAATAATTTCTTAATAACATCAAGTCTGTATTCACATTTCCCCAGTTTTTCTCATAAATGTCTTTTATAGTTAGTTGGGTGGTTCAATTTGGGATCTAAAATCCACATGCTAGATAGCTCGTTTTAATTTAAATTTTTTACATGTCCTTAAAATCTGATTAAATTGCCAGCTTGTCCATAATTTGCATTGGTGGTCTGCAAAGCGAGGATACTGGTATCCTACAAAAGTAAGATAATCCTTTGGGGTATAAGAAGAAAATGTGAACATGTCCAAAAATATCTTGTAATGTTATTTAATATCCTTTTTAGTTTCTATTTTTTGAGTACATTTAATATGCGTAATAATATAGTGTTATATAATCCCTAGTAAATACGGATTATACTAAGTCCATTCAGAAAATCAAAACATTAATTTGATCAGGAAAGTTTAATACAGTATAAAGAATTAATAACTATACCAGGAGATAGCAAATATAGAAATAGCAGATATAAGGATCAGCCACCACTACTGCTAGGGCCAAGACTGATCACCTGGAGAAGAAGGTCCCCCAGGGATGAGATTTAGACCTTGTTGAAGAGGGCAGTTGTGGCTCACTGGATGGCAGAGAAGTCACTGTGGAACTTTGCTGGTTGAAACTTGCTAGAAACCTACTTTCTGAAATATGGCAATTTGTGCTCTAAGATGCCAGGGAAAGCTGTTGCAAAACAGATGTCTCTCTGGAAGCACTCTGCTAGAAAACTGCCTAGGGGCAAGTAGGGAGCCTGCTGGTCTCACTGCTGGAGCAGCACTGGAGAAACTGCCTCTTCTGCCCACGCAACAGAAGCCTGGTAACTAGAGAACGTGAGGGAACTGCAGGAGTCAGCTAAGCAAGACAGCTGGAACCAGGAAGCAAAACCTTTCCTTCTTGTAATGTCTCTCCAGCATCTTCTGTTGGCAAAATTTCAGTGCCTGTTGGCATAGGAAAAATATTTAAAGGGTCCAGATCCATTTTCACAGAGAAAGCAAAAGGCTGAATTTGGAACTGAAAAGAAAAAGAAGTAAATTGATAGCTGGCACTGGGGTTGTTTTCTTTTCTTTGTTGGTAGTGCACAATAATAAAAATGTTGGATACTTGGTACTTAATCTCATGTTTTCCCAGTGAATCTGTAAACTTTTTCAAGGCCCTTAACAGTGCTGGAGGCCACTTTATTCACTGAGTTTATCTTCCACATATTTACATAGATGTCTGAGAATGAATTGGAAAATAATATCTGTGCATAGCAGGGATTTTGATCATTTCTTAGCAGCTCAAAAATTTTAAACTTGTAATTATTTATCCTCTTTTAAAATTTGCTGGTACACCTCTTCAAAGAACGAATTTGCTAAGAAATTGCTTAAATAAGACTGGCATGTTGGCTGGTGCGAGCGCAGTGGTTTGTACAACTAATTGATTACAACCAGTTACAGATTCCTTTGTTTTTTCTCCACTCCCACTGCTTCATTTGACTATGTAAGGACCGTCCCTGGGCAAAAATTGGCTTAAGCCCAGAGTCAGCGAAACTGGGTGTGTGTAGGGACCGTCCCTGGGCAAAAATTGGCTTAAGCCCAGAGTCAGCGAAACTGGGTGTGCTCTCCTTGGCGGCAGAGGTCAATAGGCCTGGGCCCGGCCTGTTGGCCAAACAGAACTATTCCTCATGACAGACAGCTTTATGATAGATAACCAAGAGCCTGGGGTCTTGCAAACAAGCCAAGGCTCTCATTGTCCTGCATACGGTAATGAGATAAAGAAGTTAAGATGCAAGAAGTTAAGATGCAAATGTATGCTTCCCTTAAGCAATCGTCAGGAAGGAATAAAAATGTATTTTCCTCAGGGCACCCAAGGTAGTCACGTACCAGGAAGTAGCTGCCGGACAGAGAAAAGTATAAGAATAAAGCGACTGGTGGAATTTACTACTTCAGTCTTGTACGTCTTGTGTGTGTGTCTGTGTGTTTCTTTCTGTGTCCATCCCCCGTTCTGCAATCCGGGCCGTGACAGACTAGCCTTCAAAAAAATAATAAAAAAAAAGATTGGTGTGTTGTCTTCCTCCCAGCCTTTGCACTTGCCCTTTTGCTAAAAGTTTCCTTCTTCCATCTTAGACTGTTCCTTAGGATAACTCCTATTTGTCCTTCACCTTTCACACCACTTCCTCTACGAAGCTTTTCCTGACCCATCTAGAGTGGATTAGGTGCTGTTCCTGTGTGGACCAAGATCCTGTGCTCTAACACACTGTATTGTAAATGCCTATTTACATGTATCAACAATGTTCACCACCTCCACCCTGGGGAGGCAGGGAATGCCTTATTCCCTTGTTTTAATGCCTAGGGCCTAGCACAGTGCCTGTTATATGGTAGGTATTTATTAAAATTTGGAGTGAATAAAATGGGTAGTGAAGATGCTGTTTACTTGGTTAGCAATGGCATGATCTAATGCCACATCAAATACATCTCATACTAAATTTTTAATGTTAGAGCTTTTAGTTCTTTTAATTAAATATATAGTATTTGTATAACAAGTATCAAAAGCCACCTTTAAAAAGCTGCCTCTTAATTTCTTTCAGGTTCCTTTTTTGCCAGGAGATTCAGATCTCGATCAGCTAACAAGAATATTTGAAACTTTGGGCACACCAACTGAGGAACAGTGGCCTGTAAGCCTTCATGCATTTTCTTTGGAATTCAGTTAGGATTCTATGAAGTTATTTTAATTGTCATATTCTTTATATACTGCTGTCACATTGAATATTCAAGAAATTTTATTATATACTCATTACAAAATTTTATTTTATTTTTAGTCTTTTTTGCTGACTTTAAACAAAATTTTAAATGATAAAGTATATAAAGTAAAACATTAAAATTGTGACATACCATCCAACCTCTTATATACATGTAGCCCTTCCCCCACCCCAGTAATCTCCATCCCAGAAGTAACCACTATTAAGAGTTTCATGTAAAGCTGTGTGATAAGTGTGCACACACAATGCATTTTCTTTTCTTTTCTTTTTTTTTGAGATAAGAGTCTCACTCTGTCACCCTGGGTAGAGTGCAGTGGCATCATCAAAGCTCACTGCAACCTCAAACTTCTGGGCTCAAATGATCTTCCTGCCTCAGCCTCCCAAGTAGCTGGGACTATAGGTGCGTGCTACCACACCCAGCTCATTTTTTCTATTTTTGGTGGAGACCAGATCTTGCTCTTGCTCAGGCTGGTCTCAAACTCCTGACCTCAAGCAATCCTCCCCTGCTTGGCCTCCCAGATTGCTAGGATTATAGATGTGAGCCACTGCACCCAGCCCATTTTCTTTCATCCATTCTTTAACAAAAATGGGAGCACACTATATTTTTTTGTGTGTGTGACCAACTTATTCCTTTTACTTAATATAGATCACTGACTTTTTTCCTTTGTAATAGCTGTGTAATACTCCATTTTATAGGTATTTCATATTAGTTTATCAATGTCTTTTTGATGAATTTAGGTATATTTTTAGTATTTTCACTAACAAGATGTTTCAGAATTATGATTATTTTACTCCATTACACTGTCTCCAAAAAAGAAATTTTAAGTCTGTGGTAAAATTTTAGCAACTTAATTGCTAAATTTTACATATTACAATTCAGTAATATATTCTCACTCGTGCTTACAATAAAATTATAGATCCTTTGATTTTACTTCATATAATAGCCCCATCCTCTAAAGAATAAATAAATATTAGAAAAGGGAACTTCTAATCATATTCTTTATCTTCTGATTAAAACTATAATGAAATTATCTGGAGCTAAAATTAATATCCAAGGAATTTCTTTTCTGCTATTATTACTTCAACTTCCTAATTGGAAGTTTGCTTTATGTTCTAATTGTAAAACATGTCCTAATGCTATCATTTATTAAGCACTTAACTATATGCTATTAATAATGGGCTTTTCATAAGTTATATTTAATAGAGAACTGAGGCTTAGCAAGGTTAATTTACCTAGGGCCACACAATAGGTAACAGATCTAGGACTACAATTTGGGTCTGTCTGACTCCAGAGGCCCTGTTCATAATGCACTTTTCCCTTTAACATGATTTTCTAAATAGTAATTGCTTACTGATGCTTCCCTTAGATTTTTTAAAAATTAAACTTTTTGTTTTGAGATTATTGTAGATTCACATGCAGTTGTACGAAATAAAACAGAGATATTCCCCCAGTTGTAACATCTTGCAAAACTTAGTACATCATCACCCTAGGATGTTACAGTCAAGATACAGAGTATCACCACAAGAATCCCTCATGGTGTTCTTTTATGCCCAGCTACTTTCCCCCTACCCTCTTTTTTTATGTGTGTATGTAGGTAGGTAGGTAGTTAGTATTTATTTATTTTTAGGCCACCTTCACCTCATCCCTCCCTCCTACCCTCTTCTTAACCCCTGGCAATCACTAATCTGTTCTCCATCTCTGTAACTTTGTCACTTCAAGAATATTATATAATGGAATCATGTAATATATAACCTTTGGGGATTGAGTGGGGTTTTTTTCTTTCTTTTTTTTTTTGGAAATAAGGTCTCACTCTGTTGACCAGGCTAGAGTGCATAGGTGTCATCAAACTCCCAGGCTCAAGTGATCCTCCTGGCTCAGCCTCCTGAGTAGCTGGGACTACAGGTGCGCACCACCACGCCTGGCTAATTTATAGAGACAGGGTCTCACTATATTGCTCAGGCTGTTTTTTTGTTTTCATTTCTTTTAGAGACAGGTTCTTACTCTCACCCAGGCTGAGGTGCAGTGGCACAATCATAGCTCGCTGCAGCCCTGAACTCCTGAGCTCAAGTGATCCTGCTGTCTCAGTATCACCTTCCCCAGTAGTTGAGACTGCAGGCACATGCCACCACACTCAGCTAATTTTTTAATTTTTTTTTTTTTTTATAGAGACAGGGTCTCACTATGTTATTCAGGCTGGTCTCGAACTCCTGGCCTCAAACAATCCTCCCACCTTGGCTTTCCAAAGTGCTAGGATTACAGGCATGAGGAACCATGCCCAGCCTATGTTTTTAATTTGGATGTCCACATATTCATTGCTGTTATATAGAATTATAACTGATTTTTTTAATGTTTATCTTAAATCTTTCAGCCTTGCCTTACTAGTTCTAGGAGTTTTTTAAATAGATTTCTTGGGGTTTTCTGTGTAGACATATCATGTCACCTGCAAATAATAGTTTTTCATTTGAGAGCTATGTGCCTTTCAATCCTTAAATTTGAATTATAAAAATATTTTGACAGGACATGTGCAGTCTTCCAGATTATGTGACATTTAAGAGTTTCCCTGGAATCCCATTGCAACACATCTTCATTGCAGCAGGAGACGACTTGCTAGATCTCATACAAGGCTTATTCTTATTCAATCCGTGTACTCGAATTACAGCCACACAGGTATTTTTAACATATCTTCTTAATATTAGGAAATATAAGGATAATTTTGGCTGTAGCATTGATAAAATAAAAATAGAATTTTATAAAACTAACAATATTCTTTAAATGGAAAGATGTGGTTTTGTTTGTTTTAAGGAATAGCACACTTTGTATCTCTTCCCCAAGCCACAAGCACTATTAAATTATATGCTCACACAACTATAGGAGAGTTACACTTGCTTAGGAACATATAAATACATACCTGTTTCATATAATTTGTTTTTAAGCAGTTTCCCTACAGAGGAAAAAAAACCAGGGATTTTTATTTGTTAAAAAACTGGCACATTTCAGTTGAACTCTTTTTTTGTTTGTTTGACACAGAATCTCTCTATGTTGCCCAGGCTGGAGCACAGTGGCATGATCATAGCTTGATACAGCCTCGAATTCCTGGGCTCAAGCAATCCTCCCTCCTCAGCCTCCCAAGTAGCTGGGACTACAGGTGCATGCCACTATGCCTGGATAGTTTTTTAAAATTTTCGTAGAGATGGGGTCTTTCCCAGGCTGGTCTCAAACTCCTGGCTTCCAGTGATCCTCCTGCTTTGGCCTCCCAAAGTGCTGGGATTACAGGTGTGACCTACTGTAGCTGGACTCAGTTGAACTCTTACATATTAATTTAAATCTTTGTGGCAAGCCTAATGCTGAAATTGGTTTGTTTGGTTTATTATTTCTTTTCATCCCATTAAATGTAATCCAGATAATCCATGCTGGTCATTGTCACATTCAGAAAGTGGTAATGGGGAGAAAATGATATGGTTGGGTACAATGGTACATTTACAAGAAATTGAGATATTCTTTTTTTTTTTGAGACAGAGTCTCACTGTGTTGCCTGGGCTAGAGTGCCGTGGCGTCATCCTAGCTCACAGCAACCTCAAACTCCTGGGCTCAAGCAATCCTTCTGCCTCGGCCTCCCAAGTAGCTGGGACTACAGGCATGTGCCACCATGCCCGGCTAATTTTTTCTATATATTTTTAGTTGTCCGATTCATTTCTTTCTATTTTTAGTAGAGAAGGGGTCTCGCTCTTGCTCAGGCTGGTCTCGAACTCCTGAGCTCAAACAATCCGCCCGCCTCAGCCTCCCAGAGAGCTAGGATTACAGGCGTGAGCCACCGCGCCCGGCCAAAATTGAAATATTCTAAGTAAAACAAAAACTGAAACTGACAGTTGTTTAAGGAAATAATAAGAAAAATTTGGAAGACCAAAAATATCTGCTCTAATAAAAGAAGGGAGACAGGCCCTGGAAAAAAAAAAGACAAAAAATAAGAAAGAAGGGAGAAATATAATCCAACAAAAATGTTAAGACCTATAGATATGATTTAAAAAGACAACATTTTGCAGACATCTGTATTAAAATTGGAATGGGGCCGGGCGCAGTGGCTCACGCCTGTAATCCTAGCACTCTGGGAGGCCGAGGCGGGCGGACTGTTTGAGCTCAGGAGTTCGAGACCAACCTGAGCAAGAGCGAGACCCCGTCTCTACTAAAGATAGAAAGAAATTAATCGGACAACTAAAAATATATAGAAAAAATTAGCCAGGCATGGTGGCGCATGCCTGTAGTCCCAGCTACTCGGGAGGCTGAGGCAGAAGGATCGCTTGAGCCCAGGAGTTTGAGGTTACTGTGAGCTACGCTGACGCCACGGCACTCTAGCCCGGGCAACACAGTGAGATTCTGTCTCAAAAAAAAAAAAAAAAGTTGGAAGGGGATACTTTCTTGGATCTCTGTGTAACCCAGAATTAGCTTAATTTACTTGTGGAACTGCTATGATTTGGAAGTAATACTTTAGATATGCAACTGTTGAAGTAAGGAATCTCCAAATCATTACTGCAAATACTAGTAATATAATGTTGGAGGGGAAATGCTTGAAAAGTTTGCATGGACTTCTTTTTCTTCCTAAAAGGATTATCCTAAAGGAAGTATCTTAAATCGTTGTGCCTTTTGGACATTACTGTGCTACTAATATAAATAGATAAGTATGGCTTGAGAAACTTATCATTTAGGATGAAACTATTTTTATTGGAATTGTGAACCCAAGTCAAGAAAATATATTATAGAACATTGGACTGGTAGTTAATAGAAATAACTTTGGGTAAATCCTTCCAAGTAAAATTTCTATTCACTTTGCAGTGGATTATTGAATTGTACTCTATTGGTTCCAATCTATGGTATCTTTTTAAAAGCCTTATTTTTAAGAATATTTACATGATTTGGAATTTGAATATATACGGATATTGTGAGAAAGTTTCTCTTTGCATTTTGAACTATAAAGCTCAATGTGTAGAGAACTGAAATGTACAATGTCTTACAAAGGATAGTTCATAATTAGTACAAGTTGAACATCCATAATCCAAAAATCTGAAATCCAAAATGCCTGAAAGTCTCAAACTTTTTGAGTGCCTATGTGACACCACAAGTGGAAAATTCCACAGATAAGGACTTAACACAAAATTTGTTTCATGCAGATTATTAAAAATACTGTATAAAATCACCTTCAGGCTATGTGTGTAAGGTGTATATAAAACATAAACAAATTTCCTGTTTTGACTTGGGTTCCATCCCCAACATACCTCATTATATATATGCAAATGTTCCAAAATCTGAAATACTTCTGGTTCCAAGCATTTTGGATAAGAGATACTCAACCTATATAGGCTATTTAATTGTGGAAAAATTAGAAGGGGGTCTCTTTTTCTTACAGTAATGGAATTATCAGCCAGTCTTAGGATCCTGGATGTTTATGTGTAGTACTTTGCATGTCCAAATACTTGATATTAATTTTGTTTTGTTTTGGGAATGGAAGTGTTCACATAGTATTTTTAATGCTCCTGGCAACTTTGGAAGTTAGGTTATCCTTCACACATTTCAGATACTCACTTAAAAACCTTTCTTTGGTATCTTTTAAAAGGCATTGAAAACTAAGTATTTCAGTAATCGGCCAGGGCCAACACCTGGATGTCAACTGCCAAGACCAAATTGCCCCGTGGAAACCTTAAAGGAGCAGTCACATCCAGCTATGGCAACAAAACGGAAAAGAACAGAGGCCTTGGAACAAGGTAAAATTCCCATTTGTATAAGAAATGAAACAAATTCAGAAAACTGCAAATAGCTCATGTATAGTTAGTGACCGAAGGGCAGCTAAGAAATGTAGCTTGTGAGCTATTTACTTTTTATAAATTTAAATTGTATAAAATGTAATATGCTGTTTTAGCTGTATTTGCTTTCACTGAGATTACTTCAGGCACATTTAAGTATACATCAGAGTTATGAGAACCATCGATGTTTCCCTTCTTCGCTTCATAAATTTCTTCTGTACCTTGTATGCTTGCTGGTTAAGTGCTATTGGAAAAATCTTAGTCAGTGAAATAATGTAGTTGAGATGCAGTGACTGGTTAAAATTTGCTGTAAGAATGTGCACATTGTTAAATGTGAACAATCTTTTTATTTTTTTTTTTGCTTTCTAGGAGGATTGCCCAAGAAGCTAATTTTTTAGTAAAAAAGAACACTGGAAAATATTTTACTACTGAAGGAAATAGTACAAAAGGCATATAATGGAAAAATAATAAACATTAAGTAAATGCTGTAGAAGGTATTTGTACATATTCTACACATGTAAAATATGTAAAACTGTGGGTTATTTTTATTAAATGTATTTTAAAATAAAATTTAATTCTGGTTTTTCTTATTAGAGTACAAAAGGGAGAATGTAGAATTGAAAATGCATTAGTGAAACCCTAATTAAAATAATTGTTAGTTATTTTGAAGATCTGGTGAATACAGCATCACAAATCTGTAGTAGTATGGGTGGTTTTTGGTTTTTTGTTTGTTTTTGTTTTTTTTTAAAGAGATAGTGTCTCACTCTGTCATCCAGGCTGGAGTATAGTGGTGTGATCATAGCTCACTGCAACCTCCAACTCCCAGGCTCAAGCAATCTTCCTGAGAAGCTTGGACTACAGATGCACATGCCAAAAAAATTTTTAAATTTTTCACAGAGATGGGGCTCTCACTATGTTGCTTAGGCTGGTCTCAGATTCCTTGGTTCAAACAATCCTTCTGCCTTGGCCTCCCAAAATGCTGGGATTACAGGTGTGAGCTATAGCACCTAGCCTTGGTGGTATTTAAAAATAGAAAAAATATTAGTAGTCAGCCTGGGTAACATAGTGAGACCCTTTGTCTACAAAAAATAAATAAAAAATTAACCAGGCATGGTGGCACATGCCTGTGATGCCAGATGCTTGGGAGACTAAGACAGGAGGATTGTTGGAGAGTGTCCTAAAAAAATTAAAAATGGAGTTGCTATATGATCTAGCAGTTCCACTTCTGGAAAATACCTAAACGTACACAAGCAGGATCTCAAGGAGATATCTGCACACACGTTTAAAGTACCATTATTCACAATAGCCAAGAGATGGAAGAAACCCAAGAGTCCATCAATGAGGGATGAATAGATAAACAGAATGCGGGAATTCTGACATTATGCTACACTATGGATGAACCCTGAGGACATTATGTTAAGTGAAATAAGCCAGTCACAAAATGACAAATTATGATTCCACTTATGAGCTATCTAGAGTAGTCAACTCATAGAAAGTAGAATGGTGGTTACTAGGCGATGCTGGGGAGGTAGAAATAGGAGGAGTTGTTTAATGGATAGAGTTTCAGTTTAGCAAGATGAAAAAGTACTAGAGATTGCTTGCATGATAATGTGAACATACGTAACGTTACTGAGCTGTGTGCTTAAAATGGTTACAGTAATGGTCAATTTAATGGTTATAGATAGTAAATTTTATGTTACACTTTTTTACTACAACTATTTAAAAAAAGCAGCAGCTACTGTGTCTATGAGAATGGCTTGTTGTACATTCAGCTTTTTGAACCTATTCCCTTATAGCAGCAGTTCTCAAAGTGTGGTCCATGGACCCCCAGAGCCCTAGGACTCTTTGAGGGGGTCCACAAGGTCAGAAATATTTCCATAAGAGTAATAAGATGCTAATTGCCTTTGTAGCTGTGTTATATGTGCATTGAAGGTGCAGAAGCAATTTTAAGTACAACTGCTAGGACCTCAGCACCACACAGTACTAGCAGTCTGTATTCATCACTGGCATGCCCTCAAAGTTTGTGAAACACCGGTTTTATTTAAGAGTGTCCTGAAGCAGTTCAGGACACACGTGATGGCTTATGCCTGCAGTCCCAGCAGTTTGGGAGGCCAAGTGGGAGGATCACTTGAGGCCAGGAGTTCAAGGCTGCAGTGAGCTATGACCTTGCCACAGCACTCCAGCCTGGCCAACGGAGCTAGACCTTGTCTCTTAAAAAAAAAAATCTTTAATCAGTTCAAATTATTGATTTTATTAAATTTCAACTTCTTTAGTAAACATCTTTTTAATACTGTCTCTGAAAACAGGGAAGTAGCACAGAGCTTCTGGCTACGGAAGTGCAGTAGCTGTCTCAAAGAAAAACCCTGGTGTAGTAAGTTTGGAGCTGGCCTACCCGCTTTTTCATGTAATACCATTTTTACTTGAAAAGAACATCTGACAGAAGGCATGGTTATTCAGATGTGGGTAATTGGCAGAATTTTTCTTGAAAGTTCAAAGTGAGCCTGCTACTTGAAAACAGCTGACGGCATTTGTTACTGATCAAATTTGAGCTTTCAGGCCGGGTTTGGTGGTTCACGCCTATAATCCTAGCACTTTCAGAGGGTGGTAGTCTGAGACCAGCCTAAGCAAGAGCAAGACCCATCTCTACAAAACATAGAAAAATTAGCCGGGCATGGTGGCCCATGCCTGTAGTCCCAGCTACTCGGGAGGCTGAGGCAGGAGGATCACTTAAGCCCAGGAGATTGAGGTTGCTGTGAGCCATGATTATGCCACTGCACTCTAGCCCAGGTGACAAAGCAAGACCCTGTCTCGAAAAAAAAAAAATTTTTTTTTAAATTTCTAATAGTAAATATTGACATATGTCTCACATAAACCAAGTTCCTTGGAATGGTAAGGTTGTGAGATCAAACAAGTTTAGGAATCACGACCTCATAGAATATTTAGTAGAGCACCTGGTATTATAATTCTGCAATTTGGCCTTAGTGCGAAAGATTGCACATACCTAAAGCAGCCTACTTGTTTAGTGGCATAGATTTTGTGTGCAGGCCACCTCAATCATAGTTGTCTTCCAGTCATTTCAGACTTGCCTTTAGTTCATTTTCAATGTGTTGCATCCACATGCTATTCATGTTTTTTCCTGCCATGTCACAAAGCATTTCATGCAGGTGTAGCGGTGAACGGGCCTGCTTTAGTCATCATGGCCTCGCCTCCTGAGGAAGGGATAGGCTGTCCAATGGGAGTCTGTGTGGTCAAGTGGCAAAAGCATTGGGCTTTGCAGTCAGAAAACCTGAGGTTTGGTAAACTGGCTGCATAAACTTGCCCAGTGGAATCAGTGTGAGGGGGAAAACAGACTTGCCTGAAGGAAAAAGGTGAAAGCAAACAAGTTTATTCCATGCTGGCTACAGAGGCATGCACACCTCACATTACCCATTCACTGGAATCCATCCCAGCAGCCCATCTCAGCGGTCTTCTGACATTGCTAGAACATCTTTTCCTTTCTCGTCAGATGTGTTCTTGTTAGAGTCCCCTATTCCGGCCCTTTCTTGGGCCTTATTAAGAGGAATTTCCCTGATGTGCATGCTGGCAAAAATGCTATCGATGCTTCTTTGATAAGGACCCCTCACCACTGCCACCACCACCAACTATAAATCAGAAGTTGGTCTATATAACATGCCAGCAGGGTTTTCTAAGTATGCCACTTGCTAGCTGGGTACCAAGGGCACATCCCCTTACTACTATGGACCTTGGTTTTCCCATCTGTGATGGAATAGAACTAGTTTTGTCATTGTTTTTTCTAATGTTCCAGAGAAATTTTTAGCCTTTTAGAACTTGCCAGTCATTTTCTACATTAGAAAACTGCTTGTTACATTTAGAAATGATTTTTCAGAATTCTTCAAATCTAGAGTGAATGCCAGGCTTGAAAGCCTTTGTCAGCTCAAAAATGGATATCCTCTATAAGAGGTTTATTTGGCCACCTAATTTTTCACAGCTAAGTTTTACTGGCAGAATTTGTTCAGGAAAAGAATATAGGCAGGGTAAATCCATAATACAGATTGTTACACTCAACAGTTTTATAATTTTTGGCTTTTTTCATTTATTTAGAACCTCGTAAAAGTCCTATACATTCAACTGAGAGGAAAGAGCAAACCTCCAACAGAAGCAGCACTCACTTTCTGAATGTGGGTTTTATTCAGTTGTGCCAATCAGAAAAGAGCATTTGCAAGAGTATTTGGGCATCATTAAAATGATGGGGTGGCAACTGAAATGAATAGTTAAAATGAAATCTTGGGGATATCTGTGGATTTCATGTCTTCATGCTGTCCCATGCAACAACTGTAGGACATCGGCCTCATGCAAAGCTGAAGAAGTATGACAGAAAGCAGAATAATCCTTAGTAGAGGGTCTTGGAGTTAGAGCCTTGGTTCTGAAACCTGACCTTACATCAGAATCACCTGGGAAGCATTTTCATTAGGAAAAATAACCCAGGTAGTATGCTTATGGCTAAAAAAAAAAGTGAAATTCCTTTCCACCCCTAACCTTCTTAAGTTTCCCTTCTCAGAAGCAGTTACTGTTAAGTTTCTTATGCTTCCTTCCAGAGATATTTTGTGCATATAGAAGCAGTACTTGTCTCCCCACCCACACATTTTTAATGCAAATGACATTTCCTGCTCTACAATACACACATAGTTCTTTATTTCTTAGCCCAAGTCTTCTAAGCGAGACAAGGATCAGGTGCTGGTGCTCCATTTAAGAGGCACCTGACACTAGTAACAAGTGAGGGAAGTGAGGCTGGGAAGAACAAGAACCAATGAAGGTACGCTGTCACCGCTTCGTGACAAGCTGTGGAAGGAGGGACCACTGGTTGCTCAGTAGGTGCACTCACACTGGGCAATCAGAGAAAACCATGCCTCCGAACAGTCTGGAAGGAAGAAAGAAAAGGGGATTTTTCCTTTCACTCCTGTTCCCATTGGTCAAGTTTCACCAAAACAAACAAACAAAAAAAAACTGTCGGACGGGCGCGGTGGCTCACGCCTGTAATCCCAGCACTCTGGGAGGCCAAGGCGGGCGGATCGTTCTGAGCTCAGGAGTTCGAGTCCAGCCTGAGCAAGAGCGAGACCCCCTGTCTGTACCAAAAAATGGAAAGAAATTAATTGGAGAGCTAAAAATATATGTAGAAAAAATTAGCCAGGCATGGTGGCCCGTGCCTGTAGTTCCAGCTACGCAGGAGGCTGAGGCAGAAGGATTGCTTGAGCCCAGGAGTTTGAGGTTGCTGTGAGCTAGGCTGACGCCACCGCACTTGCCCCAGGCAAGAGAGCGAGACTCTGTCTCAACAAAAAAAAAAACTGTCCTGTGAAATTGTCCTGCACTTCCTGATTGCATCGTGTGTCCCCTTTGGCAGCCATTCAGGAGCCAAGGTCCCATACCGATGATGCATGTTTTATCCAAAATTAGAAATAGCAGCAAAAGTCAAACTCAGGGCTAAGAATCTACTAGCTCCAAAGCTGCACTAAGCTGAGCTGGTTGACAACCTCAATAAAATTGTAAGCATCCTCTTGAAGCGTGGTACGTGGCAATTACAGAAGAGTCAGGCAGGTAAGGGTGCAGGAGATAATGGTGCCAAAGGAATCTGAGGATGCTCATAAAATGTGTCTAACATATGCATTTTACTTGATTCACTTGCTCTATCTTAGGGATCATATGTAAATATGTAAGTTTTTCATTGTAAAATATAAAACGCATATACCCGTTTTCTTTCCTTTATAATTATTTTTCTTTAATTAAGCTAATATATGCTCTTAAAATTTTCAAATAGAGAAATAGAGTAGGCCAGGCACAGTGGCTCACACCTATAATCAGAGCACTTTGCAAGGCCAAGGTGGGAGGATCACTTGAGCCCAGGAGTTCAAGACAAGCTGGGCAACATAGTGAGACGCTGTCTTGACAAAAAAAAAATTAAGTGTGGTGGTGTGTGACGGTATTCCCAGCTACTTACGAGGCTGAGGCAGGATGACCACTTGAAACCAGGAGTTCAAGGCTGCAGTGAGCTATGATTGCAACACTGCACTCCAGCCTGGGCAACAAAAGGAGCCTCTGTCTCCAAAAGAAAAAAAAATAGAGTTCATGTGTTCCCTGTCATGCCCTTCTAATCTCCTATTATACTTTCCACCAGAAACAACCACCTTTATAAGTTTGGTGGATAGTCTTACTGACTTTTCTCTGTGCAAGTCATGTGATGTTATGTAACAACACATGAGTTTCTTCTCTAAATAACAGTGTAGATGCATACTATTCATATTTCATTTGTGGAGCTCTTCCATGGAGATGTGTACAGATGTACTTCACTGTTTGCAACTGCTGCACAGATTGGATAGGATGGATGCTGCACATTACTGACCTAATTATTTTCCTATGGACTGCAAACTAGTACAACCTCTGTAGAAAGTAATACGGAGATACCTCAAAGAGCTGCTACAAGTAGAACTACCATTTGGTCCAGCAATCCCATTACTGGGCATCTACCCAAAGGAAAAAAAGACATTCTATAAAAAAGACATCTGCTCTAGAATGTTTATAGTAGCACAATTCACAATTGCAAAGATGAAACCACCCACGTGCCCATAAATACATGAGTGGATTAAGAAAATGTGGTATGTGGATTACTACTCAGCCACAAAAAACAATGGTGATCTAGCACCTCTTGTATTATCCTGGATAGAGGTGGAGCCCATTCTACTAAGTGAAGCATCACAAGAATGGAAAAACAAGCACCACATGTACTCACCATCAAATTGGTATTAATTGATCAACACTTACATGCACATATAGTAGTAACATTCATTGGGTGTCTGGCAGATAGGAAGGGGGAGGAGGGGATGGGTATATTCACACCTAATGGGTGTGGTGTGCACCATCTGGAGGATGGACACGCTTGAGGCTCTGAAACAGGTGGGGCAAAGGCAATATATGTAACCTAAACATTTGTACTCCCATAACGTGCTGAAATAAAATAATAATTATTATTATTTCCCTATGGGCAGACATTTAGGTTCTTCCCATTTTTTACTTGTACAAAAAACATTACAATGAAAATCTGCATACAGTGGCTTTGTGACATTTACATGGTTTTTAAAGGATGAGACTAATAACTAAAATGGAAACGAGTATGGCTTCAGAGAAATATTTTCTACTGTTAGTTCAGTAAGACAGTAATAGATGTTCCTGGTGGTTGAGGGGGAAGTACCATAATCCAAAATTTGGCAAACATTATATAATTTTCCAAACAATAACTCTTTTCCTAATTCTTATGAAATGGATGCTCAATAGTTATTAAGCAAGACTGATTATATAATGTAAAATAGGAAATTTATTGAAATATCAAATACTTGTTCTGAATTCAGGGGACATCTATAAAGACACCTCGATTTCTTGACTCCTCCAAATTATATTGTTATCCATGACCATATGCTACTGCCTCAAAGGTCAGTTACATAAATATATTCACACGATTATTCAATTTCTCTTTAATTGGCCTAACATAAGTAACCAATCACTGCAAAAAAAGATGATGATGTCAGTAACCTACATCCCACAGTGAAAATTTCTGAGTTACTCTAGATTATGTCATGGAATAAGAGCTTTTAGCTTTGCGGTGTTGTGTTTGTTTTTTGAGGTAGGAACTTGCTCTGTTGTCTGGGCTAGAGTGCAGTGGTGTCATCATAGCTCACTGCAACCTTGAACCCAAGCTCAAGCGATCCTCCCACCTCAGCCTCCCAAACTGCTGGGATTACAGGCGTGAGCCACCGCACCCAGCCAGCTTGTGTTTTTTAAAAGTATTCTGTCTTGGCTGGGCGCGGTGGCTCACGCCTGTAATCCTAGCTCTCTGGAAGGCTGAGGCAGGCGGATTGTTTGAGCTCAGGAGTTC